ACGTCTGACAAGCAAAAAGAAAAATTCCTGCGACGCGGCAGGGAAGGACAAATGGCGTTCTTGACAGGACATGAAAATTTTCGCTAGAAAGAAGGACAGTTCCTCCCAAAGGAGGACATCCTTACGCTCACGTGACGCGCGAGATCTGCGCGTGTATAAACCAATGAAACGAATAACATTCACCCAGCCGTGCATTCTCTCCCCCGTGGGATTTCACCGGAAGAAAAGGAAAGAAAAGAAAAACACACCCGTTGGAGCCGTTTTCGCAGGACGAGTCACACGTTTCCCTCTATCGGAAACGCACGGTGTATCCGGCCGGAGGAGGCGACGATCCCGGATCGGAGATAACGTCGATATCTCACGGGGACGCCCGGCGCGGCGTCGGCGGGGGAGTTCCGTTAACGAATTATCTCGCCCTTTGTCGAGGGAGAGATAATTAAGCGCTCCCAGCGGCGCGACGTCGGACGCTAAAGGCGCTCGTGTCTCAGGGGTGGAGTGAAGGACGCCGTCATTGTTTTGTCACTTGAGCCTTTTTATTCGAAAAGAAAAAGAAAAAACGGAGAAAAGAACGGAGACGCGAATAATCTGCGCTAATTACCATTTCTCGCTTCGCGCTCGGCGCACTGTGCTGGAGTGCATTTACAAGAGGGGGCAGGAGGGGAGGGGCGGCAACATTTGCTTTTAATACAATTACGGTACATCGATACAACGGGGAGGGCGGCTAATATTTACACACAGTCTCGATTCTTCCGTCGGATCTACCCACCCCGGGCAGCGAAGACACCGGCTCGTTGCTATTCATTCGCCGCCCGCGAGAACTGACACCGCAGTAATTTGTACTAATTAATCCATCCGAACCCATATAGCTCTTTCCCTCTCTCCTCTCGGCTCTCTCTCTCTCTCTCTCTCTCTCCCTCCCTCTCACTCGCTCGTTCTCCTTCTCTCTCGCGGGCGCTGGTTTCTACACTGCGCGCATTTCATTCGACGCCGCGCCACGCGCGGAGTATTCCTATTAATCACCGACGCGCGCGTGCGGGGGGAGCGCGTAAAATCGCGTTTCCGGCGCTTTCGGCGACGCGATTTGTCGCCGAGCTCTCGATCTGGCCGAAGCGGACGGCCGGAGTTGTTCCTTACGGCCGGTCCGGCGACGCGACGCCGGCGTTAAGGGGAAAATTACATGTGGAGCAGACCGTTTTCAGGTTCAAGGTTATTTTTATGAATTTTTTTTAACAGAAACGGTACGACCAATGAACTTGAAACTTTCACAGTATATTCATTTCATAGTGTATTCAATGTTCAAAGTATAAAATGAATTTGTTACTATCCATATGGAAAGTGCACATAAAGCATCAAATGTATTTATCTGGAAACACCATTTTCTTAAACCGTCGACACGATTATGCGAAAACTACTGAACCGAATAACTTGAAATTATGTTCTATGATCTCGTCTGGATGGATATTGTAGTAGTGTTTTCTGTACACGCACTCCCCAACAGTTCATATTCCAGCCAGAGTGAAAAAAGGGGGCGCGCGCGTCATCGCTTTCCCGCGCGCTCGCGCAGGACCATCTCATTTTTCAGAACGAAACAGCAAATCGCCCAGTGTGGAGACCGCGGGTGGGAAGCGCGGAAGCTGTGGGAGAAAAGGTCCATCCTGACGAGACCACAAGTATAATTCCAAACGAACTTCACTCGGTGAGTTCGTTTGCTTATACAATTATGCTCTGTGATCTCGTCCGGATGGATATTGTAGATGTCCAGAAGACGATTTGCAGAGCGCAACTGGCTGCAAAAGTGTGTATTAAACGAAGTGTATTAAACTGCAAGGAGGCAGTCGAAAAACAAAGAAAACATGAGCTTAAACGCGAAGGACGGAGTTCGTAAAATCGATTATAGAAACGAGCGAAAATTTTGGAGGAGCCTGGCCAACCGGCCGCACGTTTGATTAAGTCTAAAGCTACCCCGTTCCGCGCCGCCAATGAGATGGATGCATGACGGGTACTATGCGGTGTGAACAAATCAGTGCGGACATCGTATTCGCTAAGGCTTGCTCGCAGTCAGCGACTGATTGTTTGCGTCCCGACGGCACGATGCTCGCATACATAAGGAATAAAAAAGGAATCGCCCGAGGAAATACGCAGATTGTGAGTAACTTCTAAATAATGCTTAACTAAGGAGTAAATGCCTAAGCTCGTGTTATCCGAGAACGGAGGAAAAAAGGAAAGAAAGGCTGGGAACGTCCGGACGCAAAATTCTTGAGGCGCTCCGGGACTTTTATAATAAATTTGTCTGAAAGGATTATCTGAAAAAAGCGGAATGAGGCGAGCGTTTGCGCACGTTGACCTCTGCCAAGAGCTAGGCGCAAGGCCAACTTTCTGGATAAGAGCGACAGGGGAAGCAAGTTGTACAGATATATAGTAGCGAGGTGAGCAATAATAGGTTCTGGATCCCAGACGAAATCGCAGCGAGGGCGGAGAGGCCTAAGCACCCCCGCCCCCCACAAAAAACGCTTAACAAACGCATGGATACCAATCTCGCTATGTGTGATAAGAAAGACGGCGCTACGAATCGTATTGAGTGTCGAATACGAGCGGACACGCGTGAACTCGCGAGCGAGAAAATTTAGAAATTGCTCCGGAGCTGGTGAGAACAGAGGGACGTCCGAGGAGTGACAATAAAAACCACCAGTCGCGAAGAAGACGAGAATGCTGACGGACGCCGTAGCGTCCCTGAGCGAAGCGACAGTAGTCTCCGCACTAGGTGGTACCTGGTGGTCGAGGAAAGCTAGTCGGATAAGTGCCCGACCACCAGGGAAAGCATCCGCCTAGCCGGATGACGATCTCTGAAAGGAGAAGAAAGCAAATCAGGAGATGGCGTAAGGATGAGAGGCGTCCCCACAAGAAGACGATTGAATAGGGGAAACCACGCTTGAGATGGCCATGAAGGGGCAACGACGACCCCCTCTACGCGGTAGTTAATAATTTTATGAAGAACGCGCGGTAAAAGAATGAATGGGGAAAAGCGAAAAAATGTTATATCTGCCCAGGAGAGTGTAAACGCGTTCACCGCCACAGAGCTAGGGTCGGGAAACCAAGAGAAACGTAAGAGACGGAACATTTTGCATTGATAATAGATGTAAACAGGTCTACGTCAAATGGTCCAAATGTAGTCAAGATCTTCGAGAAAGCGGCGTGCGACAATGACCATTCTTCTTATATTGCCTCTATTCACAATACCATCGCTGATAGCGAATCACGAGCCGTCAGCTTAGTCTAAGCTGACGGCTCGTGATTCGCTATCAGCGATGGTATTGTGAATAGAGGCAATATAAGAAGCAAAGACGAAAATGTTACGGTCTTCGCATCAGGTCCAGATTTGCCGCGCTAACGATGTAAGGCGTGAATATTGCACCGAGCCGAAACGGTTGATATAGGCAATGGCCGTAGTATTGTCGACGCGGAGGAGAATGTCACAGTTTCGAAGATCTGCAGCAAGACACCGCAAAGCATAAAAAACAGCTTTGAGTTCAAGAAAATTTATATGACGGGACCGTTCAGACGCCGACCATCAATCACGAGTATGACGCGATCTACACGATGCACCTTAGCCAGAGAGAGAGAGAGAGAGAGGTGGTCCGCCAAAAGATGAGTCACCCCCGCGAGAGCATCCTTTACAGGAGCATCTAGCGATAGCCCGCGAAAATGGCGCGGAAGGTCAGCGAACCCTGAGCCAATCGCGTTAAGACAAGCGCCAACCTGCTATTGTTCCCGCGCCTGGTGCTCGTCTCGTTTCAGAACGCTTAAGCGTTTTCCGAGTGCTGAAACAAGCTCCTGGTTGAGCTTGGGGAAACCTAGCTGCAGGAACTCGTCTTGAAGCTGGTACTTGGACAGTAAAGCCGCGCGAGTGTCCTCCTTCAAGCCGAAGTGAACCTCACTGCAAGTAAAGGCGAGGATGAGTGAATCTCACGAAGATTCAGCCACGGCAGGAGATGAGCCGAAGAGCTCATTCGCCAAATACGACGTATTCTCCTTCTCGCAGTCGTTTAATTCCAAAGGGAGTGGAGAAAACTCGGCGAAGGAGACGGTAGCTAGCGGAGGCTGGCCCGCGAAGAAGCATGGTCAGATAGAGCAATCGGATACGTGCCTTCGGGTAACGAAAGCAACGTATCTGGTACGCCGCTCCGGTTCTCAAGAACCGGATGCTTATCTGCCTGCTAGTCTTCTGGAACGGCGATGAGAATATCGTCCGCCAGGGTTGGGCCAGCGTCTTGCACCGCAGAGACGGGAACAGACCGGACGTCGTCGGCAGGCAGAGAAGCGGAAGCCCGCTGGGTCTTCGTAAAGGCCAAAAATATCCTGCAGGATAGTGGTGAGGCCTGCTCGCGACGAGGGTGAAGCATCGCGCGAGGAAGCGCGCGGCCTAACCTCCAAATCGCGCGAGCGACTGCCGAAGTCTCGTTCACGCGATCATCTATCGCGAGAACTATGCCGACGCTTTCGGGAACGATGGCTCCTATGCTTAGACATCCTGGAGACTAACCTGAAAAAGAGCGGATGATGAAAAACACAGCAAACACAGCATAGAAAAAACGACGAACTGTGAGTTGCGCGCAACAGAAACACAATGAGATGATCCTGCGCAAGCGCGCGGGAGAGCGGTGGCGCGCGTGCGCGCCCCCTTTTTTCGCTCTGGCTGAAATATGAATTATTGGGGAGTGCGTGTGCAAAAGACACTACTACAATATCCATCCGGACGAGACCACAGAGCATAATTTTAGATTGAGCGTCGCGATATCTTACGGCCGGCCCGTGCGCGCCTTCGCGCGGACGGCGAGTCGCGAGCGGTGTGTCAGGATGTGAGAAAGAAGTACGCTGTTGCCTTGTGATTAAAATATATATAAATAACTTTATTGTTTATATTTATATTTATATATTTATATTCATATTTATATTTATATTTATATATATATATATATATATATATATATAATAAAATGCCCTATCTATTTTACAAATATACAAAACTCTCGCTATATGTACATCGATCTCCGCTTCGATTAAACAAGAGAGTTACCGAAGAACTTTATTTTTTATCTTTTTTTTCCTTTTTCCTTTTAATGAATCGATCATTGCGATTAAAACTATCGTCGAGTAGAAAGAGGGGAGAAAAAACGTTACTTCGTTGCAATTACGAGTTACAGGTAGTATGCTCCATTGTTCTCTTTTTTTTTTTGTCTTTTTCTCTTGCTTGCCCTAATTACATGTTGCACACTACGAAGCTATCACGATTCTCGAAAAATACGAATAACCGCTTACTTATTCGGACACCGTGTTACGGGTACACTTGCGATAGTAAGAGATGCTTCTGATAATAAGTAGAGGAGAAAAGTCGCGGTTAGGGGTCAGGAGCCCTGCAACAGAAAGAGAAACGATTTCACTGGCATATTGCGGAACTATGCGAAGCTGGTGTGATTCTGCGGGCGCGCGCGCGCGCCACAGAGAGGGAGGGGGCGCGGAAGGGAGGGGGGATGCACTTTAACGACACACTTGAACAATGAATAATTGAATACGCCGCTTTGTACAGCCCCGCGCAATATGTGATGCAATTATTGATCACGCAGAAAGAATTATTCATTAACATTAATATACTGCGTTAATAAATCCACGATAATAATAGAACGGTTTATTATTATAATGAGTTTCAATAAGCGAGCGATCAATCATTATCTATAATGGTACTCTGTATTACTTCGTTTGCACGCAGATGGAATACGATTACAGTGCCCAAAACTGGATATTACTGTGACCATTCCCGGAAAATATTTATAATCGCTCGCCCGCGCTCGCATCGTAATTGCCTGTTATAACGATGTGTGTAACGATATGTGTATAACGACTTTTTCAAGCTTACCTTCCTCGCTGCGATTTCCAATTACACCATACGTAACGCGATTCAATAATACTTTTGGGAACAGTTCACATCTGAAACAAAGAGAAAATTGCGACATATCAATTGGCGGCCGATACAGTTCGCCGCGCGTCGCTCTGCGAATTCACTCGAATTCACGGCTAAAAGAAGCAGGGCAGTCGCGAGCGGCATTCAAATGCAGTTTAAAGAGCGTCGTGCATAATAAGGGGCGACGTCGACTCGAGCGTCCCGGTTGAATAATTCGACGGCAATTTCGCGGGAATAGACGCGACACCGATATGTCGGCGAGGGAAATGCTTTCGGAGAAAGGAAACGGAAGCGAGTAATCCAATTGCAAAATTAACCAAAGGATATGATCGAATAAATGGAAGATTCAGCCCTGCTTTTTGAGCATTCCATTTGAACTTGCGAAGAAGAGAACGCTCGGATCTTGCATAGCCGTAATTGCATAGAAGACGGTTCTTGTGTACTTTCATTCCGAGAAAACAGAATTTCTGCTTTTCAGAGCCGAACTTAGCCTCGCAAGAAGCGGACATTCTTCCCGTCCCGCTTCCCCTCAACCGAAACGCGTCTGGTTCGTTCATTATCGCATTAATTCGATCAGTCCTTCTTTTCCTCTTCTTTCGATCCTCCGTCAAAACACTCCTCAACTTTTTGCACCGGAATATTCACGAGATCTCTCCGTCATGCCTCGCAATCATCCCGATTAAAAAAAAAAAGTTTGACGATGGATTGACGGACTGCAGTCCGCCGCTGGTTAGGCGGATGGCGGAGAATCAGACCGTAAAATGTACATCGCACGGAGATCGGCAACGGGATCAGCGGAAAAACTGCAAAAAGCTCGGCAAAGAGTAGTCACGATGTTTTCTTTCGTCGCGCTGCTTCCTTCAGCGCGACGAACAGAAAGTGTGTTAATAGTTGCTGGCAGTCGAAAGAAGCCGATTAGGAATTTGAGATCGCGGAGGCAACAATCCGCATCCGATGCAGTGCTGATCTTTCCGTTTGTTATTTCAAAGCTTAGCCAAATAACCACAGATACGGTAAATAAATGCAATTCGTGACGCGAGCTGACACTCGTTTCGCCATGTGACACTTTGTCGTTTGTTTAATTCGTTGTACGCCATTGGTGGCGCCTTACACGTAAATTAGTGACACGCGGCGGTACCGTCGATAGCGTCGGCTATTGTTCGAATCTTTTCATATATTAAAGGCGATTGTTACTTCACGAAAAAAATATTTTCTTAAAAGAACAGTCTCGTTACCTGCTAGAAGGCTCGTTCTACGTGCGTTTTCGCATTAGAATTGTTATTATATATGCGCATAACAGCTTAAAGATAACAGTTGATACAATGAGCGATGAAAAACTTTATATTCGATGTGAATTCCAGCAAGGAAAAAATATTGCTGAAGCATGTGAATCCATTTGCTCTGTTCTTGGGGAAAATATTGTCCCGCAATACGTGCAAATACTGATTTCGTCGCTTTAAAAGCGTAATTTTGACGTGAGTGATCGTCCGCGCTCTGAAATGCCACGAAAGCTTGAGGCCGACAGTTTGGAAGCGTTGTTGAAGGAGAACCCATCCCAAACGCGAGTAGAACTTGCGGAACAGCTCGAGTTGACCAAGCAACAGTTTCAAGGCGACTGCATGAAGTGGGAAAAATTCAGAAGCTCGGAAAATGGATGTCGCGAAATAGCCGGTTTATCCGCGAATTATACGCCGGTTGAGTTCGTGCGTTTCAAAAGAGATTTTTTGTCGAAAGTTGTTATTGGCGACGAAAAATAAATTATGTGTAACAATCTTAAACGCAGACATTCGTGGGCGGATACTGGACAGCTTTCTACATCAGCGGCAAGACTATTTAAATGCATTGCCAAATATAAAGTTTTTCGTCGCTCCTTCAACTGTTATTTTTAAGGTTATGTGCATCTATAAATCGTAATGAATGGCGCTTTACAAGTTCGACATTAACCTTAGACGGGGTATTCCATTTAAAGTACATTAGAGGGCTGAAAAGAAGCCTAAAACTTTCACATATACCAAATACAAGCGGATCACTCTCGCCAGCTAATTGAGAATTAGGCGCCGCGGATGTGAAGAAGTGAAAGTGAGTATTTATTTGAGGCACGGTATAAGAAAGAACAGTAGGTTCACTCAGCACAAAATAGTGCGAACGGTCGTTTGTCGCGCATGACCGAACTGCATGATCAACAATATGGCGGTTAATAGCTGTCAAAATGTGTAAGTGTAAGCAACGATTAACCATATGACCGAATTTTTAATATAATATCGTTGTTTTATTAAAATCAGTGAAATGAATGAAAGAGGTGGGTATAAATGTTGTATAACAAATGCAGTTTAAAGTGCAAATTTAAATTTGCAAAGTGTTAAATTTTGTTTTAATCAAAATGTGTCCCTTCCGAAACAATACAATATAAAAAAAAAGGCGGACATCAATATCATTTAGTTTCCGAGATTTTTTACCTGTTACGTTTGAAATTTAGCACCCTGTATATATATATATATATATATATACATTTTTCTATATTATAATTAGTAATATGCTATATATTATTAATTATGATATTATTAACATATTATATTAATAATAATTCATATTTTTATATTATTTTATAATGTACCATATATTATAGATTTAACAGTAAATATTGAAAAACAGCAATAAATCTGTTTTAGCTACTGTTCATTATCATTCAAATTATAACCCGCGCACAACCAATAACATGGCGATCTTGTAGCAAAAGCTGAGATCGAAAGCACCGCCACCGAGATGAATCTACTGTTCTTTCTTATACTGTGTTTGAGGTCTCCGCTGAAGCGAAATGTCGGTCTAGCGACCTTGCCCAGCGCTAAAAAAGAAGCGTCTCGCGAATGGGACACTTGGATCGTTCGCGGGCAAAGTAGCGAAATCCAAAGAGGCGGGCAAGATTCCGCTCCGCATGAGGGGAGTCTTACAGTGTCGGCGCGAGTTTACGCGACGCGACGGGGAACTTTTCCCGAATACGAGATCAAACTTTTCCGCTATACCGGGTGAGAAGTGCGAGATGCGCGCATTACTGCCGCGGCGGTTCTATAACAAGTTATATTTTTTAATTTTTCCCACGGCGGCAGCGGCGGCGGCGGCGGCGGCGCGTCGCCGCTGAAAGTTTCCCTGTGGTTTTAGAAATGCATTTAAACTTCCGCCTGGTTGTGCTCCGTGTCAAAATGCATTTCCTTTTTGCGTCGCCGGCACGTCGCGCCGCATCAGAGGGAGATTCTCTCGCGCGCGAGCAGCGCGAAAAAGCGATGCAGCACATTTGTGCGATGTCACGGCCGCGGTAGCGGCCGGCGCTAGACATCGCGGCGGATGTGTCCGCCGTTTTGAAATTCTGCTGGCTCGAACTGTGTTACGCCTCGGCGAGCACGTCGACTGACCGACCCGACCCGCGGCCCGCCCCGCCCCGCCCCGCCACCGCTGCCGCCGTCACCGTTGTTACTGTTACGGTGTGACGGCGCGGCGGTTGCGCCTAGCTAGACGAGATCCCAATTTTTCGAAAAGCCCTCCGCGTGTCTCTGGCCGGGTGCAGCCGCGTAATCGGGGGCAGCTCTCGCGCGGCCGAGGGTCGTCGGAAGTGCGTTCGCCGCCTGCGAAGTTCATTTCGAGCCCTTCGCTCCTGAGTGCCGCGTCCCGATGTGGCTACCTGCGTAACCGCATCGGAAAACCGGATCGGGTGAAAAGAGGCGAGTTTCGAGGTGTAGTTACGCGGGTGTAGCTGCGCGGAGATTGCAGTCGCAGCAAATGGAATGGGAATCGAGCCGGGCCGGAAATGATGCAGTAAGAATTCAGTCGGCGATGAAAGGCCGACGAAATCGAAGCGTGGTTATATACGCGTGACGATGAGGTGTGTCGACAATATGATGCAGCGTGTTATCGCGCGCGTTCTTTCAGCTGCCGGCAAGCTGATCTAATTACGTGATACGAGTAATTTTGTCGCTCGCTAGCTGAAGGGTTAAGGGAGGAATTACGTGCGGGGCAGGCCGTTTTCAAGGCTATTTTTTTTACGAATCTTTTATCACGAATTTCTTTTCATAGAAACGGTAGGATCAATGGACTTGAGTGTTCACAGTATATTCATTAATGTTCGAAATATAAAGTAATTTATATTTCTTTACTATACGTTACTATACGGAAATACACGTAAAACTTTAAACGCGTTTATCAGCTGGAAACACCATTTTCTTAAACTGTCGACACGATTACGCAAAAGCTACTGAACCGAATAAATTGAAGTTTTTACACAATATACATGTAGACATGTAGTTTTCGCTCCTACATCGAACACGAAACGAAAGTATATAACGAAAGTTATATTCTATTTCATTCATTTTTTTCTACATATGATTACAAGTTGAAAAAAGTTTCATTTTCGATACTTCTTTTTTGTCATTTTTCCAAACCTGGCTTCGTTGTCTTCATTTTGGTTATAATGTGGTAGCCGTATATTTTAAAAATCATTCTCATTTTTTGGTTTCAGAGTGGTGAGAGGCCCGGAATTATATCGATAGCAAACATTAGAGCTCGCAAACGGATGACTGCATTTTTATCTGTAATTACAAATCGGATCGGTTCTTGTGATTCAATAAAACTTATACGTTGAACATTAAAGAGTACACTGTGAAAATTCCAAGTCCATTAATCCTACCGTTTCTGTAAAAAAAATTCGTAAAATCAGCCTTAAAAACGGTTTTCCGCATGTAATTCCCCCCTCAAGTAAATCGGGCGATAAATGCGATCAATAACGCGTTTCATCGGACTGAATTTCGAGCTTGTGTTTTATACAAAAGCGGACGACGAAATTTCGCTGACAGAATCGGAACAGTTGGTTCGTCATACGCGAGCCTGAGTGGAGCTCGTTTAACACGATGAATTGTGTCCCCACTGATCTTTCTCTGATGATATGTATAAAATTACCAGAGAGCAATGATGGCAAAGCCTGAAGAGATTCGAGGACGGAATATTTTCGCTCACGTGCGGATTTCATACGACACGTTAA